CTGCCCCTTCCCCAACTTACACACACATGCACTCTCTCACTTTCTCTCTCTCTCTCTCTCAAATAAATAATTAATTAATTAAATTAATTCAATTATGGGGCGCTTGGGTGGTGCAGTCGGTTGAACGTCCAACTTTTGTTTTCGGCTGGGATCGTGATCTCGGGGTCATGGGATCGAGCCCTCCGCAAGGCTCTGAGCTCAGAAGGGAGTCTGCAGGAGATTCTCTCTCCCTATCCCTCTATCCATCACCCCACTTGTGCTCTCTCTCTCAAATAAATAAATAAATCTTTATGTATATAAAAGTAACTCACATTTATAAAGATTTTGGAAAATTTAGAAATGCATGAAAGAAGAAACTAGAAGTTACTCATAATCTTACAGCTCACCCCTTATGAATATTTTGATATATATTCTTGTTGATTTTTCTCCCTACATATATATATCTATGAAATAGCAGGAATTTTTCTGCATGCACAACTAGGATTATTAAAAATATGTTAACAAACTAGTTTTAACATTGTGTATAGGTTTGAGAAATGACCTGTTTTTCTAATGAACACTTTGGTCACCAAATATTGAGCTGAAATTCACTAGTAGCCTGTCAGAATTCCTAAGGTGTGATGGAGACATATTGAAAATAGTAGTGACTTTTTAACATGCATACAAAATATTATCATAATTTCAATTTGTTCCATAAAACCCTGCAAAGCTAAAGTTACAGGACGAGGTCAAGCTCATTATTATAAACTGTGATATTAATGATGTAGCTAAATATACCCTGAGGAAATGGAGGACTAAAATTTATTGAGCATCGGGGCGCCCGGGTGGCTCAGATGGTTAAGCGTCTGCCTTCGGCTCAGGTCATGATCCCAGAGTCCTGGGATCGAGTCCTGCATCGGGCTCCCTGCTCCTTGGGAGCCTGCTTCTCCCTCTGCCTCTCATGAATAAATAAATAAAATCTTAAAAAATAAATAAATAAAATTTATTGAGCATCTACTATGTGTCAGGCAGAGTACTGAATATTTTGCAGAGATTGCCTAATACATATATGACATCTGTAGGGTGAAAAATGACATCTTCAATCTCTGTACCCATAAAGTGGGACAGAAATAACCTAGGTTCAAATTCCTGCGATTCAAGGTTGGAAAAGACAGGGTGGATTTTGATCAGAAATATTTAAATTCACTGTTGAATCAAGGAAAAGAGCATAACTCCTCTATTCTCTCCTTATTTTGAGTATGGAGGCACAGCCTTAGTGAGGATTAAAATTGTATCTTCTGTTGGGTAGATTTTTGCTTTATAAGAATTCAGTGCAATTTATTTTGCATAAAAGATATGATGTGTGCAGCCATATCAGGATTGCTCATGCATGCATTGCTTACTGTAGAGGAGATTCTGCCTTCCGCTGACCTATAGGTAATAGAAGATGCCTCTGGAATACATTTCCCTAAAGTTATAATCGGATATGCCATAAGCTCACATAACAAGTCATGTCAATGCAAAGTGGCAAGTCATTTACTGCAGAGTTACAGGAAATGCAAATTTGATCTGGTGTGTGACAAGTTGAAAGCTCTATTTTGCTGCCCGCATGATAGAAATGGCTTGCTGTTTGCACATTGTTTTAGATAAGCCCTTTCCTGGGAATTGTGACTTAAGGTGACCAGAGGCATGATGCCGCCCTTATGTTTGTGATTGTCGTAAGTAATGTATCCTCTACCTTATTATGGACAGATGTAAAATTGGCGTGTGTTCATGAGACTAATGCTTTTGTTAGGAGGACATTGGTAGGATATTTCTGTATTTGTCTTAAAGTTTACCTTTGCCCCAAAACAAGTGGGGCACGCACTTAGAATTTTTCGATTTGTTAACACCTTACTTCTGGTCTTCCCATTATCATTTCTCTGAATTCTTATAACAGAATTCTGTCTTGGGGTGGTTTTCAGGAGCACAGGCTCTGGACTAGCTAGTAGGGTTTGAATTCTAGCCTGAAGTGCTAGTGTGATACTTTAGGCAGGAAACTTAACTTGTCCAGGCTGTGTTTTCTCCCCTGGTAACGTGAGGACAGTAATCACATCACATTTACGGGGGTTGGTGAAGGTTAGGGCAATGCATGTGAAGTTCTTCGCACAATGTCTTACTCAAGGAATGAAATCCTTCTAATCCTGTTTGGTGGGTGAGGCAAATAGAAAGCAGAAAGACATCAAGAAGTTAACTAAGATCCTTGGCCTAAGGCCACGTAGTTGAAGAATTGGAGTCAGATCAGCCATTCCCATTTTAGCCTACTTCTAAAGGCTGCTTTGCTTTCTTAATTAAATACATATGTGTATATGCAGCTGTTGACTTTTAGATGCGATGTTTCGTCAACAAATGTAATCATGGAGCTTATCCATTGCAACATAGTGGTGAGGCAATGTAACTGCAACAATGGGATTTATCTACGCCCAAGCGCCCACACACATGAGCCCATGCAAGCACGCATCTACATTCAGAATGTTCCCCTCTCAAAGGAAACCTCAGACGCTTTGCCCATATCTTGCTTCTAGTTATGGTTCTGTCACAACCTGGGCATTTACTCAGAGCCTCAGCCTTCTTGCTAGTAAAAAAGAAATAATAGTATGTGACTTGTATTGTTAATTAAGGTATTACTAATCAAAATTAATCAAGATAGTGTATGAAGAGTCCTTAGCATTGAGCCTGGCACAGGATAAATTCCTAATAAGTGTTAGCTAATACCTTTATTTATTGTTGCCCTTGCTGATGGTGCTGGTATCCATGGTGTTTATAGAGTCAGGGGGGGAAGACTCGACTGACCAACTGATCTAAAAGCTGGGAATCTTGTGTTCTTTACAACTCTTAAGACTATCTGATCTGATTGTTCTTATTTATCATCTCTTTCCTCCCATTAGATTTATGTTCCACAGAGGAGGGAGCCCAGGACAGTGCTGGACACATACCAAATGTCCCCCTAAAAGTCTGTATATAAATTAATGAATGGAGAAGAGTTTGAGAGCAATGGGAAAGAGGAAGGAAATCACCTGTGTGAGCAAAGAGGGAGGGGACAGCTTATATTACCGATTTCTCATGTGAACTTCTGGGTCTGTTGGCAACCAGCATTTGTTAAAAAAGCGGTGTCCCAGAGGAAGTCTGCTTAAGAAATCATGAATAATCTGATAGAGCAGGGGCAGTTCAGTAAGCATCTTTCGCCCCATGGGGATGGGGGGCAAGTACAACTTGTGTCAACATGCTTGTCTTGATCTGAGTTCACGTCAACTCCCATCCCCCAACCTTTCATGACTGTCACAATGCTGCCATCGAATCCATTTTCCAACATCCTAGTTACTCTCCAAAATTGGACTTGCAAGTTTCGGTTGATCAAATTCATTGCACATGCCTTCAAAGACGGTGTGTGCACAAAGACGCCGGCCATATGCTTCTGAACGTCGAGTTACTGTATGTGACACAGTTACAGGAGTGACTGGCACACGGCAACACCTCCATAAATGTTCCCTGTTGTTGCTGTTGTTATTATTCTTAGCATTACCCACTTATTCAAAAAGGATTTATCGAGTTCCTCTTCTGTGCCTGCGGATGCTAATAGTAAACTGAACAGACCAGATCTCTGACCTCGTGAAGCTTATGATGCAGTGCGGAGGTTCACAAAGGAAATTGCAGTGTGTCACGCAGAATAGTGAATGCTTGTGCTCCCTAGGTGGGTGGTGGCAGACTACACTCTTGCTGAGGGCCGGCCCCCATGTGCCTTGTTTTAACGCCATCGCTCCAGTATCTTGTGAAGAGGCATGGTAGGCATTCGGTTCTGGTTGGATGAATCAATTAAGGAGTGAGCGAATTTCTGAAAGGGGGCCTCGTCTAATGTGGGCACTGCAGGTTCTGGATTTAGGCTGGGTGCGCCGATGCGAGGCAAGCTCTGCCGTTTGCCCACTCTGTTCATTGGCAAAGTCTGGCTTAGAGTATATGTGGGTGGACGCGGGGAGGAGAACGAGGCTGTGAGAGCGGGCGCATGCAGAAGTGAAATCTGTGTGGAGCTGAGGTTGCACGGAAGGCAAAGTCTTTGGTTGTGTTTTTTTTTGCGGTTAATCTTAATATATGTGTGAGCCCACGTGGAGGGTTCTGACTGAGGTAAACCTGAGCTTGAGTCAGTGTGTGAGGGGTTAGCTTCGGGTTTGTCGTAGGCCGGGGTATTGGAAGTATTTTACAAGGCACAGTCTAGGGATGTGTGCGTGTCCGTGACCTGTAAAGTAATTGTGAGGTCAGTTATGGGTGGGTAAAAAGCACAAGCTAGGGTGCTAAATATGAGGTAAGAATAGTTTAAGTGTAGGTTTGTCTGTAAGTCAATTGCAGGCTTTTGTGATTGTCGGCAAAGTAAGAGGGTCTCACTCTCAACCAATTCAGGAGGTCTTTCTTTGAGGGTGCAGGTTTGTGAGGCAGATTCTAGAACCGGGGACAGCTGTGAGACAGTTCTAAGATGGGAATGAGACCAATCTGGGATTATGGGTAAGCAAAGTCTAGGATTGTGAGTCTGGTAAACCTGAGTTTGTGTGTATGTGTGTTGTTGTAAATCAGAATTTGGCTTTCAGATGAACACACTTGAGCCAGTTAGGTTTGTGTGCACGAGTGGGGCAGAAAGATGTGTCTTCGTGAAGCAAACTCGGAAGTCAGTGTGGGGAAAACAGGGTTTGAGCGCATGTGTGAGTGAGGCAAGTTCTTGAGTGTGAATCTGAGCGTTGTTGGGCCCGCGGGAAGTGTGCATGCGTGTGTGTGCGTGTGCGGGTGCGTGTGCGCGCGCGCCAAGTTGGGATTTCTACTTTCGAAGGGCTACCGGGCCGCGCGACCCTGCGGGGCCACGTTAGGGTCGGGTGCGCGCCGAGGGGCGGCGGGCGGGCGACAGGTCCCGCGGCGGAGCGCGCCCGCTGCCCCGGCCCCTGCGCCGCGCGCTCGCTGGCTGGCTGGGGACTGGCAGGAACCCGAGCTGCACTGCCGCCTCTGGCGCGAACGCTCAGGCGCCTCCTCCCGCCCCAGTCACTGTGGCTCGGCGCACGCTGCCGGCGGCTGCCCTTTCCGCCTCTGGGGGAGCGAACCTGCGGGCCGCTGTGCGCCGGCACCATGGCCTCGGGCCGGAGGGGCTGGGACAGCTCCCACGAGGACGATCTGCCCGTGTACCTGGCCAGGCCGGGCACCACGGACCAGGTCCCGCGGCAGAAGTACGGCGGCATGTTCTGCAACGTGGAGGGCGCCTTCGAGAGCAAGACGCTGGATTTCGATGCCCTGAGCGTGGGGCAGCGGGGCGCGAAGACTCCCCGGAGCGGTCAGGGCAGCGGCCGCGGCTCGGGGAGCAGGCCGGGGGTCGAGGGGGACAGCCCGCGCCGGGGCCAAGGCCGGGAGGAGGGCAGGGAGCCCGCGCCCGCCTCGCCCGCCTCGCCCGCGCCCGCCGGGGTGGAGATCCGGAGCGCCACGGGCAAGGAGGTTTTGCAGAACCTCGGCCCCAAGGACAAGGTAAGGGGGCCCGGGGCTCTTCTCCTCCTGCTCTCGTTCCCTTGGCGGCCCGGGGCGCCGCGACCCGGGCACAACTTTCTCCCGCTCCCTTCGCTCGGGGACGGGGGACAGGGAGGAGGAAAAGGGCATCCTCTGCCGAGCGTACCGCGACCTCTCAGCCCGGACCGGGATTCGCGCGGGTCCCCCGTGGCAGCATCCTGGTGCGCGCGGGACCGGGGTGCGCGGGTCCCCCCCGCCTCCCTGCCGCACCCCCGGGCCAGCGGGTCTGGGTGGGTGTGTCAGCGCCGCCAGCGGCGGACGCTTAGTGATTTCCAGCCCTTCTCTGCGTCTGAGTAACCACCCGCACAATTGTCTGGGCCCCACTCTGGCCCTAGATTAAATCTCAACCCGGGTCACCAGGGCAGAGGGCAAACTGGCGCTGGGAAAATGGGGTCATCTCCATAGTCCCCGGATGAACGTACAGGATGGGCGGTCTCCCCTCTCACTCTTCAAACATCAGCTCTGTCCCTGAAACTTTTGGGTGTGGAGCCACTAGACTAAACACCCTAATCTGAGTGCCTCTCTTCTGTCCTAGGTCGACATTTCACATCTGTGTTTGTGAAGTGTACGTTTGTGCACGTAGTTTATTGCAAGACTGGGTACCACAGGGATCCAGCTGTCTCTGGAAGAATATCACTTATTTTTGAAAACAGGCCGGAGTATTAAGGGTGCACTTTAAACTAGCACAAGCTGCAAATTCTCTGCTGCTCCTACATGTGCCAAAGCCAATTTCTTCTGTATGTGTATTTTTGAGAAACTCATGCACTGAACTGACTGGAGGCATGGCATTGAAATCCAACTTGCTCTCATCTATTTGTTTATTTCATCGAAAATCAGAACCACAGTTCAGAAAATTCAGGGTCTGGGCAGGGCCGGAGTATTCAAAGTTCAAACTGATGCTGTTGAGTTGGGGAACAATAGTAATCAGATACGTCACTCTTGTGTAGATAATGGCTGCAAAATCCATCCACATATATTATTCTGTGTAAATACTGATACGAATAATAACCCAAAATGGAAATGTCTGCCCCAGAGCAATTACAGTTAATGCTTACCGGAGTTAGATGTTTTTCCCATTCAAATGCAGCGAGCCAAAGGAAAGCCTATCTCTGCACTGCTTGATTTTTGAAAGTTTGAAAAAACAAGGCTTTAATTACTGATACCGTTAGGGGAAGAAAGCACTGAACTTCGTCCTGTGTAAGGGTGCCATTGGGAAACAATGTCCATGTCCCTTGCAATCACTCATTTAGTTTGTGATTTTCATATCGTCCTTAGAGTATGGGATTCCTCTAGGCCCTGCTTGTATAACACTTTTAGGAAAAACTTCTGATATTTTTGGAACAGCTGTGGCTGATTTGTAAACTTAAGAACGGTGTTACAGGAAGATTATTGCCTCTCTTTAGGTCTGAGCTGATGGGGATTGAAATGTTCCCTTCCTGACTCTCAGGGGTGGGAGAAGTGATGGAAAAGGTCGGTAACAATTGCTGTGAGTCAGTGCTGTTCCCTTTGCTGGAACACCCCTGATGTAAGCCAGATAATATGCCTGGTTTGCAAGATTTAAGAATGGTAACTAGAGAAAGGGAAAATGTTCCTCCTGTAAACCCAGAAATTCTAGCGTTTTCCTTCCTTTTGCAAACCCTATACTTTTGGCTCCTAATTGAAAAATAATAATACAACTTAAGCATCAGCAGGATTTCTTGTGCTACGTGGTTATTTCTAAGTTCAGGCTTGCTGTCAGCTTCATGCAGGCCATGTTATTATCTCTAATTTGGTTGAATCACACGGCTAAAAGGATCTGCAGACCTTATCTACTTCTGTACTTGATAGCTATTTCCTTGAGGATAGGGATCGTGCGTTTGGATTTAGCACTGTGGCTGAAATGCCTGGCACATTGGAGGTGCTCCATAAATGTTTGGTACATTAAACCTCCTTAATTAGGCCATATTTTTTGGTACATAGATGCACAATGACCATCTGGCCTCTACTTATTTTATATATATATATGTTTTTTTTTTTTTTAAAGATTTTATTTATTTATTTGAGAGAGAGAGAGCACAGTCAGGGAGAAGAGGGAGAAGCAGGCTCCCTGCTGAGCAGGGAGCCCGATGTGGGACTCGACCCCAGGACC